CCTTGTAGCTAAATACTTTTTGAGTTTCACTCCCTATATTCTCAACAATCATCAAATATATATTTACATTACAGAATCCTGTCTTCAAATTTATGTACTATCATTACTATATATTTATAGAAATGTATAGATAGTATTTATATACTATGATATACTATCATTATTTTATATGAATAAGTGTATTCAACTATCAGCTTATCTCCCAAGTACTTAAAAATGTCATCTACGCAAATTGGCTTTGGTTACTTTCCACAACTATAATTCTGTTTTTGTGTTTTCTGTCTTATTACAAAGTCTTCTACCTGGCCTGCTCTGGCCTGGGCTAGGAATCTAGGTATTTAATTTCTCTTTCTCTCAGTCTTTTAGCTGCCTGTCCCCTTGTATGTTGTGCCTGTCCCCTTATATGTTGAGTATGCTTCCTAAAGATAGTCAATGGGTAGATAATGTTCCTATCCTAATTCAAGATCTCATCATCTGTTGATTGGATTAACTGAAACAGACATAATAACTATTATTTATTATTTAACTGTTGTTGTTAGGTGCTGTAGAATCGAGTATGACTCAAACAAAAGGTTTGAACTCTGCTCTATCCTGCACCATCCTCACACTTCCTGACACACAAAGCCCATTGCTGTAGTCACCGTGTCAGACCACCTGGTGAGAGTCTTCCTCTCCTTCACTGACCCTCCACCCTTCCCAGCACATCATGTCTTTCTCCAAGGAACAGCCCCTTCTAGCAACATGCACAAAGTATGTAAGGCAAAGCACCTCATCATTCTTGCCTCCAAAATAAGAATATTTCACCCTCTCCAAGACATATCTGTTTGTTCTTTTGACTGCCCGTGCAATGTTTAGTGCTCTTCTCCAATGCCACAGCTCAAAGAGGTCAATTCTTTTTTCTGTCATCCTTGTTCATTATCTAGCTCTCAGATTCATAGCAAATGATTGGAAAGATTATGGCCTGAATCAGATAGATGCACCTTAGTCCTCAAACTGACACTCCATTATTCCTCAATACTGTGATTGATTGGTACTGTTGGGATGAGGTCCTTTGACTGGCTTAATAGGACCTACATGATCTGATTTGTTTTCCTTTTTTTTAGAAGTTTTGTTTTGATGAAAACATGCAATCAATCATTTGTAAATTTAATACTTTGTCTAATGATTCAGTATCTTTGATTAAATTTCTTAATATTGTGCAACCATAATTACTATACCTTTCCAAATAGACCCACCACCATTTTGCTAACCTTGGAGCTCTCACTTGGAGAACTCTCACTTTGAGAGTTCTTCTAAGATTGATGAGACTATATGTCAGTACATGATATATCATGGGCACTAAGTAAAAGAAGACTCATTTCTAACTGAATCCCATTTTCAGATAAGGAAAATGAAGCTTACTGAACATGAATCACTTACTCTAATTCATATAGCTAGTTGGTGACAAAGCTGGAATATTTATATCAAAAACAATTAAAATTTGGGAAGAGAATGACAAAATTTATCTAGTGTTTCTGTGAATTTCTCACAAAAAGGAAATGTTGAAAAATAAAGATCACTTTGCTTTCTCTAATTTCATCCTAACAATGGTGACTTGTTTACTTTTTTTTTTGCCAAATATTTGATAACTGCCTTACTAGCTTTTTATGTGCTAATTCTTTTCCTTCTCCAAAATAACATAATGAGGAGCCAAACCACAGAGCACAAACAAGATCATTAGGAGCTTTGCAGTTACTAGACTCTAAGCCCTTCCTGCTCCTCCCAGAAAACCCAGAGCAGAGCAGAGTTGAGTCTGAAAAGTTGCCACAATTTTTACAAAAAGAATGGTGAAACTCACTGCTTTCTTTAAAGAAATGGCTTCTGTTCAAATTTGCCTTTTGATCAGCCCTTTAAATTATGTCATCTAAAAGGGCATACATAAGTAGGTCCTGTTCCAGCTAAGCTATTCCCCTTTCCATAATGGAGTGGGGAAGAGAACATCTGTACTTAGATAAAAAAGCTTTTCTTTTTGAAATGCAATAGGCAATTTTATCCAAGTAGCTATATTTAAAACTACTATGTTTTTAGGATAGATGTTAGAAAGGAAATTGACATTATTTGTATGGCTCTTAGCCTTAATAACTTGCTTATTAAGAATTAAGGATAAATGGGATTTAGTATATTGAAGACAGTTTAAAAGATGGTCTCCAATGATTCCTTCTCCTGTAGACCCATCCCACACTGTGCCAGGATTAGTCTGTGTGACCAATGGCATATGGCCGAAGTAATACAGGAGTGGCATCCACTTCCTAAACAACATGCCTCTGAAAACTCTATGAACTTTGATAAATGTCAGTAGTTGTAAAGGGGCTTCAGGCCTTTTGTTCATAGGGTTGCTATGAGTCATGCTTGACTCGAAGGCAATCAACAACAACAATAATAGTATATTACTCATGGGATTCAGTTATAACAGACATTTCAGCTCCAGTCACATTGTCTTTAAGATCACTTGCTCTGGAGGAAACCAACTGCCATGATCTGGGCAATCTTATGGATAACCTCGGATAAGGAAACTGAAGCCTTCTATAAATAACAACAGGACCTTGGAAGCATATCCTCTAGCTCAAATTAAGCTTTCAGATAATGTCAGTCCTACAACTAACAGATCTATCCTAGAAAGAGTGAAACCAAGTTGCTCCTTAGAGGTGAGGATTTTGAGACTTGCTCACACATACTTTGGGCATGTAGGCAGGTGGGACTAATCTTTGGAGAGGAATTCATGCTTGGAAGGGTCAAGCAACAGTGCATGAGAGGAAGACCTGGGATAAGAAGGACTGACACAATAACTGGAGTAGTAGGGGTAGAGACCGTGAGATTAGCTCAGGATAGAGCAGAGTTCAAGAGCTATTGTGCATAGGGTTAGTATGAATTGCAAGTGACTCGATGGCACATAGCAACAACAACAACAACAGCTGTCATCTTGACTGCACCATAATGAAACACTCTATACCAGAGATAGGGGAGAATGGGTGGACTAGTGTCATGAAACTGTGCTGCAATTCCGAAGGCACATGGTTCTAACCCACCAGCCACTCCACAGAAGTAGGATGGGCAATCTCCTCAGATGTGATTAACTATCTCTAAAAACCTGCTGGAGGATCAGCTATGGGTCAGTTCTGACTCGATGGCACACAACAACAACAACATACCAGAGATAGAGAAAAGATCAAAGTTGTCAATGATTTAATTTTACTCAAGAAATCAAAAGACATAATTATCCTATCTACGGCCAAGGACCTTTTAAATTGCAAAAAAAAAAAAGCAAGGGTGTGAGTTTAAATACCAAGATAACATGACCTTTTCTATTGCTCTATATGCACTCAAAAATCAGACATTGAATAAAGAAGAACCAATGCTTTTGAATTGTGGTGCTGGTGCCCAGTATTGGCTATTTCACAGAGTGTTAAAAAACAAAACAAAACAAAACAAAACAAAAGAAAATCTCTTTGAGGTAGTGCAATTAGGGAACTATTGGTGGCAAAGGTGGTGAAACTTTGTCTCACTTATTCTAGGGGTGTTGTCAGAAAGTGCCAGTCCTTTGAAAAAAGAAAGCCTGCTGGGAAAAGTGGAAGGTCAGAAAGAAGAGAAAGAGCATCAAGAAAATGAATTGATACAGTGCCTGGGACAAGGGTGTGGTAGAGATCATGAGGATAGTGTAAGGTTTTGATCTGCTGTCATGGTACCCAATCACAGCAATAATGCCAGAACCTAAGTAATTTCTGGATTCTTAACCCTTGAAATCATGAGAGATTATACATCTGAAGTGACAGTAGATAACTAATATACAGTACTAATTGCTTACAAATGCATTTCCTCCCCTCCTTAACTTGTGTTTATTCAATAGAAAAATATTGTAAGTCTGTAGATTAACAGTTACATTTTCATACTCTTAGCTTTTCTCATTTAAAAGAGTTTTATGTTTGTATGAAAAATATTTTCAAATGAACATCACATGAGAGAATCTTTTGTCAGAAAACAAGGGCTTTGATGAACTTATTTTTTCTCACTGCTTAGCTGTCTGTTCATCCCCTGTGTAGGCTGTAAACATATGGATAAAACCTCTGCATTAGAGATTTCATGTTCACTATTGATTTACAATCTGTGGGTAGTGTTGATTGCTCATATTTTGAACCTCTTTTAAATTTTGATTACTAAAAAAACCCCACATGCTTGTTCATAGAAATGAATTCTAACACAGGAAAAGTAAAGAACACAGTCCAGCAAGACCAATGTCTGAAACAACAAGAAGTGCAAAAGACTCTGATGGCCAACTAGTGAGAAATTGCTCTGCAATCCCAAAGGCACAGGGTTCAAATCCACCAGAATCCTACAGAAGGATGGGAACTCTCCTCCTGTGTAATCTACTGTCTCTGAAAACATTCTGGAGGTCAGTTTTTGTTAATTTTTGTCTTGATGGCACACAAATACAAGAGTGAAAAAATAAAGGAAGAATGTAATCTTTCCCTTATTTGGCCACTAAAGATTCAGTAATGGGTTAATTCTGAACTAAAAGAATAATAGCTAATAATAACTAGGGACAACTTATGATGTAAAATGTAGTCTTTAGCGTGTTTGTAATAAATTCTAAACCTGCTCCTAATTTTCCACAGTTAGAAGCAGGCTTGCTGTTTTATTCTTAAGATATGATTTAGCCTAACACCTAGATCCAAGATGTATATACAGTGAAGAGAAGGGGTGAAGCCTTCTGAGATTTGCACAGCTTTCTGGACTCACACTGCTTTCTTAGGCTTAGCTACCTTCTCAGACTGCAATGCAGTTTTTCTCCAAGTGTTCAACCTTATGAACCTCCCCAAACAGAGCACTATAGGGGATATAATGTAGAACCTTGCAAGGACAGCCAGTGCACAGAGGGAGTTGTAGATGAGGTGCTGTGTGTCATCTTATTGTCTCTAGGTTTCAGTATGAACACTTGATGGGACCTCTCCGTGGAGGCCACAGGGCTAGTCTGGAGAAGAGGTCAATTCTTTCCCTGGGCTGATGATCAATTTACCTTCTTTAATTCCAAAGCAGTGGCCCCACTCCTTCAGAGTGATGTGCTTATCCTTGTTGGGGTCACACTCCTCAAAAAAGCGGGTTATGCAGTGTTCCATGGGCACCAGAGATGCTCGCAGAGGAGCAAGCTCTGAATGGGTCAAGATTCTGCAATGAGACAAATGGTAGACATTAAGTGACCAGCTTGTGTGTGAGAGACTCTCAGTTTCATCTAGGACAGTTTTCTTCTTCAAGGTTGCTGCATAAGCCAAATAAATAGTTCTCCTTAAAACTGCAAATGGAAAAACTTTTTTTTGGGTGAGGTAGACAGTTTTGGGGGAATCAGTCTCCTTCTACTTTAAATCTATAGGAGTACAACCCATTAATCATGTTTGGACAACCTAGTTCTTATTCACTGGCCATAGCTGGGCAAGTTAGATTATCTTGGGAATTTACAGTCAGGAGTGATGAAGAATTGAAGGAGCTGGTATATGAGCTTACACTTGGAATATACAAATGCAGGTGGTGTGGCAGGGCTATATCCTGTACTTAAAAAGATTTTGTCTTCAGACGCCTAACCATTTATTTGGTAAGTCAGTCTTCTACAATGAACCTGAGAAACTTACTAATGTTACTAAGTTTCTCGTTCATATAGAAAAGCAGGCATTATAATGAAGAGATGAACTGATAATGAGAAAAGATTTTCTTACCTGTCCATCGGATGTTGGTCGAGCTCACTAAACTGCCAGTGCACTGGATACACATACATGTGGTAATTTTTCTTAAAGTCCCTTAAGAGAAGGTCAATGGGATGGTCCCCGGCCAAGAGTCTCTTTTCATCCAGGTAAATTTTCTTGACCTTGGAATGGAAAGTGAGGGAAGATTATTAGTTAATCAGACAAATGTAATGTGAAGCTCATTAATTAAGTTTTAATACTTCAAGTTTGCATCAATTGCTAACCTAGAGGTTGGTGATTCAAACCCACATAGCAATGCCATGGAGATAGCCCTGTGATCTGCTTCCATTAAGAATAAGCAAGAATTGCTGGGTCAAATGGTATTTCTATTTGCAGTGTTTTGAGAAAGCGCCATACAGCCTTCCATAGTGGTTGCACCATTTTACACTCCCACCAACAGTGAATAAGGGTTCCAGTTTCTCCATTTGACCCAGCAATTCCACTACTGGAAATATACCCTAAAGAACCATAACTGCCACCCAAGCAGATAGATGCACACCCTTGTTTATCACGGCTTTGTTCATAATAGCAAAGAGTTGGAAACAACCCAAGTGCCCATCGGCAAATGAATGGATAGAGAAGCTGTGGTATATTCACACAATGGAAAACTATGCTGCATTGAAAAACAAGGAACTCATGAAATATTATACAAAATAGGTGACCTGGGAGGCTATTATGCTGGGTGAAGTCTCTTAGTCACAGAGGGACAAATGCTGCATAGTGCCACTGTTGTAAAGTGGGACTGAAATCGGGGTTGGAGGGAGACTGAGAAAAGGGTATAAATAATGTATATGGCATTGAAACAGATGAGAGAGACAACTGTTTAAAAGGGATATATAATTAGGCATTACTGTCATGACAGGAGTCTAGAATGAAGGCGACACAGTGGAGTGGACTTGGGGGAAGGGATTGTATAACAATGAAAGAATTTTACTTTTCAAAGAGAAGAGTAAATTGGGGGTGGAGGGGTGGGCAGGGAGAAAAGTTCAACAATGAATGAATGAAAATCCAAAGTCTCTGTAAACTTACATTAAAATTAATTTTAAAAAAAGAATAAAGCATGAGAACCCTTTGGGGCATCCTACTCAATAAAACCTGGAGTTGCCATGCATTAGGTCTGACTCAAGGGCACAAAAAGAAGCAATCTGTGTGAAATTTTTAAAGAGAAAAGCAAACTGGGGGGGGGAGGAGTAGGGAGGAAATGTCCAACAATGAATTAATGTGAATCCAAGTTTTCTGTAAACTTTCATTAAAATCACAATTTTTTTTAAATAAACCTCTCAAGGTAGTGGAAAATTTCAAATCTGAAAATCAATAAATAATGACATAAAGAAAAAAAGTAAAAGTAACATTATTAAGGAGAGCAAGACCAAATTAATCCTTCCTTTGCAATAATGTAGCTGTTTTAATTTCTACACAGCCTAAACGCTGAGGTTAATAGTCTGTGGTTTTTCAGAAGAAATGTCTTTTTTTTTTTGTTCTAGCCAAGTAAAGTTTCCCACATTCCTTAAAATAATAAAGGCTTTACTGAAGAGGGCTGAACGGGTGTAGACAAGGCAGTGGTTGGTGAAAATTCCTCCAATGACGTCCTCGTTCTTAACCACCTGTGTGTTCCCACCTGATCTTGGTTAAGCCCTGGCATGTTTCTGTTTTGCCCCTTCACTCTTATAGGAATTTCCATTTCACAAATGCTCTCAAAATTCCCCATGACAACATTTTAAAGAGAGAAGATAGAAACTGAATTTGGGCGGCACATACACAACTTTCAGCCTAAAAATTGATCCCTAAAAAAGAAAGGGATCAGTACAGAACTTCCTTTCTTGCCATGAACACATCTGCCAGCTTAAATCCCTGCCCCTACTCCACCGTGGATGAACTTCCTGTCTTCTCATCTAAGCCCAATCTCTCCCTGAAGCTCAGGAGTCCACTTCTTGGCACAGAATAGTTTTTTTGTAGCTCCGTACCCTTTCTGCTCTTCATTAATTTTTCCTTCTTTGCTGGGCTGTTTCCCAAAGCTTATAGACATTCTCCCATTGGTAGAAGGACTGTGACCCACATTCCTTTCTTAACATCATCCCGTTTCTCATTCTTTTTACAACAAAACTCTTTGAAAGTGTTGCCTATATTGGCTTCCGTGTTTTTCCTATTCTCTCTTGAACATTGTCATTTAAGGCTTCTTCCTTCACCAGGTCATTGAAATGGCTCTGTGAAGGATAGCTGTGATCTCTGTCCTTCCTCATCTCTCAATGAATAAACAGTTGGTGTAGTTAATGCAAACCTTTCCTTTTTGCTTTATTTTCCTCATAGCATGCTTCATCCTACCTGACAGATACATTTGTTTATATATTTGTATATCTGCAGAGCTTCACGTATTTGTACTTAAGTTTATAAACATGTGCATGTATGGGTTATGTATGCTATGTGTCTATATTTTTGTAGGAGCTTCAGTGGCAAAGTCCATAGGGAGTTGCACTGCTAACCCAAAATCTTTGTCTTTCTGACATTTTGAATTCTCCAGTGACTCTGACAGAGAAAGATAGGTAATTTTTTCCTGTGTGATTTGTTGTTGTTATGTGCCATGGAGACACCTGTGACTCATGTTGTTGTTGTTGCTGTTAGGTGCCGTCGAGTCGTAGATGACTCATAGCGACCATATGAGTGCCTGAGCACTGTTCCTAGAGTTTCCGGAGGCAAGTCATTTTGGAAGTGGATGCCTCTCCTGCTTCCAGGCTTGTTTTAATCGAGAAGCTCCACCAAACACTGTCCACCATGGGTAATCATCACATTTGGCACATCAGTGTCACAGTGTTTAGCATCACAACAACCATGAGTTACCTCTGTACAACAATGCACAGATCAGTGCTATACCACCTAGAAGAATGTTTGATAAAATAACAATTTGAAACAGGCCTGAGTGCCACAGATTAAAATCACCCACCTTGGGCTTGGTAGCATAACTTTCTGTCCACAGACCAACAACGGCTCTGAAGCCTGACCTGTCCTGAGCCAGTCTCACTGACTCCAACACTCTTCTCCCCATTGCCTCAGTTACTGTGTCAATCCATCTCATCTGGGATCTTCCTCTCTTGCACTGTCACTCCACCCTTCCAAGTATGATGTCCTTCTCCAAGGACCAGTAACATGCCCAAAGTATGTGAGATGGAGCTTTTAAATCCTTGCCTCCAAGGAGAAACTTTGCTTCACCCTCTCAGAGAAAGACATGTTTGTTCTCTTGGCAGTCCATGGTATGTTCAAGGCTCTTTTCTAGCACCACAACTCAAAGGCATTGATTCTTCTTCTGTCTTCCTTAGTCATCATCCATTTCTCTGATGCAAAACAGGTAATAATTGTGAAGACCATGATCAGCATCAGGTAAATCTTAGTCTCTAGACTAACATCATTGCTTTTGAGTACTCTGGAATGGTCCCCGAGAGCAGATTTTCCCAGTGCAATTTGTCTTTAGATTTTCTAACTGCTACTGCAGAGTGTGGATGTGGAGACAAGCAAACAGAAATTGTTAATAACTTCAATCTGTTCTCCATATATCAAGGTGCTGCCAATTGGTCTAGAGGTGAAAATCCTTCCTTGTTGTTTTGACTTCCTGCAGCAAGTGCTTCAAGTCCATCTCAGTTTCAGCAAGCAAGGTTGTGTTATCTGCATAACGTAGATTGTTGATGAATCTTCCTCCAATCTTGATGCCACATTCCTGCTCATAATGTCCAGCCCTCTGAATGATCTGTTCTGCATATAAATTTAAAAGGTATGGAGACAGGACACATCCCTGACACACTCCTTTTCTGATTTTGAACATGTAGTATTTCCTTGCTCTGTTCTGAGGACTGTTTCCTGGTCCATGTATAGGTTTTGCATGAGCACAATTGAATGTTCTGGGATTCCCATTCTCCTCAAGGTTAGCCACAATTTGTTGTGATCCACGCAGTCAAATACCTTTGTATAGTCAATAAAACACAGACATTCCTCTAGTACTCTTTGCTTTTGGCCAAGATTCATCTAACATTGACAATAATGGCTTCGGTGCCACAGCTTCGTCTTAACCCAGCTCACATTTCTGGTAGTTCTTTCTCCATGTACTCTTCCAGTGGTTGTAGGATAATTTTCAGCAGGATTTTGTGATATTAATGATATTCTCTGTGTGTGTGTGTATGGCATTGGTGATATTGTTTGATAATTTCCATACTCTGGCAGGTCACTTGTTTTTGGAATAGGAATAAATGTGAATCTCTTCTAGTCAGTTGTTCAGGTAGTTGTATTCTAGATTTCTTGGCATAACCTGGTGAAGATGTCCAGGGCAGCAGCTGTTTGTTGAAATATACCAATTGGTATGCCATCAATTACTGGGGCCTTGTTATTTGCCAATTCCTTCAGCACAGCTTGAACTTCCTCCTTTATCACCATTGCCTCTTGATCATATATAGTTTGTTGAACTTCTTCTATGCCAGCCAGTTCTTTTTGGTACAGGGACTCTAATATTCCTTCCATCTTTTTAAATCTTTCCTGGAGCATTTAATATTCTGCCCATAGCATCCTTAAGTATTGCAACTCAAGGCTTGGATTTATTCTTTAGTTCCTTCAGCTTAAGAAATGCCAAGTAAGTTTGGCCCTTTTGATTATTCAACTTTAGCTCTTTACATAGTTCATTATAATACTTTGCTTTGTCTTCCAGAGCTGCCCTTTGAGGTCTTCTGCTCAGCTCCTTAACTTCCTGCTTTCTTCCCTATGTTTTGACTTCTCAGCACTCAAGAGTGATATTCAGAGTCTCTTCTGACATCATCTCAATCTTTTCTTTCTCCTCTGTCTTTGTAATGACCTTCTGTGTTCTTCATGGAAGATATTCTTGATATCCTCCCACAGCTCATCTGGTTGTTGTTCATTAGTGATCAAGGCTTAAAATATGTTCCTGAGATGATTTTAAAATTCAGGTGGGATAGACTCAAGGTCAAATTTTGGTACCTGTGGATTTGATTTAACCTTCTTCAGATTTAGTTTGAACTTGCATATGAGTAGTTGATGGTCTGTTCTACAATCAGCACCTGACCTAGTTTTTACAGCTGACATTGAGCTTCTCTAGTGATTCTTCCTACAGATGTAATCAATCTGATGCCTATGCATACCATCAAGTGAAATCTATGTGTATAGTCTGTTTATGTTTCTTATAGAAAGTATTTGTAATTAATAAATCATTGATTTTACAGAATTCTATCATTCTATCTCCAGTTACATTTCTGTCTCTTAGTCCATGTTTTCTTACTATTGAGCCTTCTTCCCTATTCTCAACATTTGCTTTCCAGTCAACTCATTATTATTAATGCATCTTGGTTGTATGTTTGATAGATTTCTGACTGCAAAATTTGATAGAAATCATCTATTTCCTCTTCTTTGGCTCTGGTTGTTGGCACATATATTTAAATAACAGTGGTATTCACCAGACATCCTTGTGTGTGTCTGGATATGATTCTGTTCCTCAGAACATTATATTTCAAGATGAATCTAGAAATGACTTGGAAACCCAATAGAGGGTCAGCTATGAGTTGATTCCAAATTGATGCCAATGAGTTTGAATTTTTTTAACACATAATAGGAAACCCTGCTGGCACAATGGTTAAACATTCAAATGCATGGGAAAATTTTACTCTGTGATGTGAGGTTCCTATGAATCTTTTTGCCTGCAATGTAAACTCATAAATGCAGAGGTTCTGCTTTTCATTGCATACTTAGCACTTTGAGTAATCTCAGTTACTCAGAATGCATTCACAGTCCATAGTCTCATAATCAGTTTTCACTTGGCAAGTAACAGAGTTGGAAGTTTGAATCAATCCAGTGTCACTGTGACTTGACTCTACCAGCTTACTCCAGGGAGAAAGATGAGCAAAGTCCTCCCACACAATTTACAGCCTCTGAAAACTGGCTGCAGGGTCAGCTATGAATTGCCTGTGACTCAATGACACATAACAAAAAATCTATTCCTGCAAAGATTGCTTATTTGATAAAGATTATAGATGAGAAAATACTGTGGAGAAATTCTATTCTGTAACAAACAGCATTCCCATGATTTGGAGCTAATTTGATGGCACAAAATAATGAAATGAGCTTCAACGATTTAGATCCTCCCCGAAGAGCCGTAGTGAGCATTAACATTACTAGTAAGTATATTCATTTTCTCCTGGACACAAGAGCCTATTATTCTGTCCTTAAAGGCTTCTGAGGTCCCAACTCTTCTCACTATTTCTTAGTTGTTTGAACTGATGGAAAACCTCATAACCAGTTCCTTACTTCACCTCTGCCTTGCATGCGGACTTCCGAGCTGTAAAACAACCCAGTGGTAGATGGAATTTGCTCCAGGATGTAAGAACAATAAATGACATAGTTAAGCCTCTACATCTTGTGGTTCCTAACCTTTATACTATAATAGACAAAGTGCTAGTCAATAAGCCTTTTATTTTAAGAATTACCTTCTCTTTGTAACTTGATTTGTGCCACTGTTAGAACCTCTACTTGGAATATTATTGCTTTTAATTTTTGACTCATCTTAACTTGTTAGTTAAAATTGTGTCTTCTAGGCTGCAACAGTTCCATGGTACACTTTCAAGCATATGAACATGTATGGCTAAGCACAATTGATAACATTGCATCTACATTCCAAAATCAATCTCCACAGTAGTCTATGTGTTTCCTATTGCCAAAGGGGCCCTTAGAGTAGTGAGAGAAGATCTTC